CATCACTACCGTGGGGCGATGTACATATCAGTAGAACGTGACTGATTTGTCCCTGAGATGGATAGAGTTTTGAAACTTAGTACGTGTTAGGGGGGTGGGGTGATGCGTGAAAGACAGTTCACGGGAGGAGGACGAGGATATGAAATAAAGCGTGGTTCCTGTGGCTTTGCAAAAACAGACAAATTATGACAGCTCGGCGGACGTGGAGAAAAACGGCAATAAGCGGAACTTGTTTATTTATGAACCAAATGGAAACATGACTAGGAAAAAGGACAAGGTTTCCGATGGGATGATAGTAAATGTTAATCAAAACGTAATTTCAAAACATCACGCACGAGTCGGCGTGTTGCGTGATTAAGGACTGTGCATGAAAAAAACTTAAGAGGTTGTGTGCAGAGCAAGACAACTGCAGAACAAAAATGCTAGGCCAACTGGATGATGAGTTCGTGGAACACAATGATAGAATCACAGATAAAATTGATCGCGAAGAATCGTCAACTTACATTCAAATTCCGCTCGATCAGATATTCGATCTCGAAATCGTCCACATCTTCACCAAATGGATTGATTAGTGATTCCGCAACCTGACGAAGAAAATCAGAGAGATGAAAGTAAACAATCGGATTGAATACCTTGAGACGGGTTAGCGTGTGTGTACATAAGATGCTGAGAGAAGATTTGTGAAATACTAAGCAACAGGTACAGGAAATGACTAGTTAATCTCATTCTGCCTGAGAAATCGTTTATCCATCAATTCAATGGGATCTTGAGTTTCGGAACTGTCTTTCAAATTTACCATTGAGGACGGAACAATTCGTGTATCCAGTTAAAGATATTGAATTTTGACGACAATCGAAAAGAGTAACGTCATCATGGTATCGGCAGCAATTATTAGATCCAGACGTGTATGCGAATCGCCAAAATGGGTTCCGTTCAACTATTAGAAGGGAATTTAACATATCCAACCATAGTTATTCAGCTCGTCACATAAACCTATCAACTTGCATGCCTTTGTGGTATGAACGAAAAGTACTGTGAACATGTTTAAAGTCCCACGGCAAAGGACTCGAGCAGTCAGGAAGGTCAACTATAATTTTGACAGATGGAATGATTTGGTAAACAAAGTGAATTCCCCACAAAGAAATCGTGCCACCAATTAGCCGTAGTGGACTCTGTGAAGAAAGTTGTTTATCTCGGATTCGATCATTGTCTTGTTAAGGTCCGGTACTTCCAAAGACAGTGACAGATAAGCGTTAGATTAATCAGTGTTGAGGGATAACAGATTGCTGAGAGTCGACCAAAGTAGTTAGTGCGTTTTATTAAAAACTATTCTTGGGTTCGAACCCCCCCACCCCAGTCTCATGGATTCAATCTGTATTCACTGCTGATTACTTCTAACAAGGATGAAACAAACGTAGATTATTTCCCAAGATTTCCTTGATGCTTCTGTTTGACGAATAAACTTTGATACAATTCGGATGAGGAGGTTCAAACCCTTTCCCAATTTAATTTTTCATGAATCGGGTAATCAAAAGCTGACAGCAATGCACACAATGAATAACGTTCAATTTCCTTTGATAGGAATGCTACTAAGGGTCACACAAAAGTTAGCAGTGAGATAATATCACCTTAACAGTTATTGCATACAGCGTGATTGGTTTCCGTGAGAAAGTGCGGTCATTGAGCCGACTAGCGAATACGAATCGCCTCTGTCCTTCGTTGCAAGTGTATTGAACCCAATCTTACCGCACACAGATGGTGTTAAACATCCTAGGAGGCTGAAAATAATTTGATTGTTGCCTTCGCGTCCAAACAACACCAAATAAACAAACAAAATTCAACGGAACTGGTATACAGGAAGCGAGATTTATTCCATGAAATGTGGGTAGCACACAAAATGGACCGGTGACAAATACAGCCGCACAGCTTGGGAGGCAGATTAGAGTTGACAAATTCGGATTCTAAACAGCTGTGAAGTGGTTCTAAAGAACAAACATTAAGATATGTGACAGTAAGAAATGGATAGCGTTCTCAACTAACAAACTCTATTTGCGATAAACTTGCGCACTGCTCGGAACGCAGCATCGGACAGGGGTTTCGCTTTCCTTTAGAGTCATCATCAAAGCAAAATTCTGTCCCTACTGGGACTACGATCACAATAGCGTTGAGATCCGGGACTCCAACAGCGTAGTTACCATTGTGACTCACAGTGAATTCATTTATATAAAATTAAACATGCTCTTGTTTGATGAATATAGCGCCATTAGCTAAACGACATTTCGCTACCGTACCAGCGGGGACGGGGTGTAGAGTGTTTGCATCACATTCCTATTAAGCTGGGCCTCATTTCTTGGTTTCAGTAGGAAGCGTTCTCCAGAACACCGACCGAAACATCGCTTTTTAGACCAAACAAGGTAAAATGTCAGTATTGACTTAACATACAACAGAGTTTGGGATTAACTGTGTGTGGTACACTTTGGGAGCTAGTTTATTCCTGTGACATGTATATTTACTCTTCCTTTTGGTATCTGCTAATCCCTTCTCATATCATGTCTACAACTGAGTCTCAGTTCGTCCCTCGTGTTCTTGTACTTCTGATTGTCGCGTTATTGTTTGGACCGACAGCGACGAGTCGGGGTTTCCAGTATTGTTCAGGTCCCGAACACAATTCACTTTTGATGCTGATTTCTCGTTGTTTATGCAATCCTTGCCAGTTGGCTGCGCGACCCGATTATCCGTGACCACTTTGCATAGGCTCGAATCCTCTCTTGTTTGGGTAGTTAGTGTAACCCGTTGGGCTTTGCTGTCGAGGCATGTTCTGTTTGCATCCCAGTTGGGTGTAATTCCTAATCATTATGTACAACCCCCTTTAGTACGGAAACCACGTCATTGTTTTCGCTTGGATTCTTCTCACACTTCTTTTGAAAGAAACGGGACCGGTGGTACCTTGTGGGCCAGTGGTGCCCGTTACACAGACAAAAATAACAGGACACAAATTCACAAGTCAACGAATTCGACAAAAATAAAATAAAATAGGGGGAATATTAAACTAACGTCCACTTTTCGAGATGCAGAACATCCTTGGAAATTCGAGCACTTCGAAAGAGGCGGATTCTGGAGAAAGTACACTAAAGCATATGTGAAAGATCGATCATCCCTACCTAAATTCAAGCAGTCATTGTGTGAAAGGTAGCCACCAAGTGCATGTTATGGTGACCCGTTTGATGTGACTCAGATATACGTTGTCATGACGATATTAGACTAGTACCGTATTTAGACACGGTGTAACGCTGGCCTTCTCCACTCTTGGCAGGGCTTCCAATGTATGTCAGTGACGGAAACGTCTGATGTAATAGATGATGCGTGGAGTATCTCGAAGAACAACCAGGTGGTGAGATGTAGTAACACAGCTAAAATATTCATTGGGTTTCTTTAAATTAAAATTAAAATTGTCCGAATGTACACAGCAGTGAACAAGGTCGTTCGCCGGGATTCATCTTCAGGATATTACTGTAACGCTAGGCACATTAAGCACGTCGCCGCCACTTTGGATTGAGAGTGAGTCGTGTGCATGTCTCACTGGACCTTTTGGTTCACGGTTGTTTTGTATTTTCCGTTTTGCAGGTTGTTCTGAAATTCCCCTTCCACGGAGAACCTGTCGTCCGAAGTGTCTCCTACCCGTGTCTTGACAGCGTCCGTACTGGGTCGCATTTACGAGTTGGTTCGATACCCCAAACAGGCTTTTGTTAGCGGCATTCTGACAGTGCAATTGGCGCCAGAAACTCGGATCGTGCTACTCGAAATCAACCTCCTGTCGTGCATTACGAATCGGTGGCAGCGGTGGGCTAAGTCCTCCACGTTACAAATACATCACAGCTTGTCAAAATCCTGTGACCGGATGTTGTTCACGATCTGGTCATCACACATACGCAAATTTTGGGCCATTGAGGGGATGACTACGTCGTGGCCATTGGAGGCCGACTGCCTTATGAATTGTTTTTGTGATTACGTAGGCTGATCCCAATCGCTGTGACTAAAGTGCGACTTTTGCCCGGTAAATTGACGGGTGAGAACTAACTAGAGAGACCGAAAAGCCTCGGTCACATCAGCTACGTGGTTTGACTCCGCTAGGCGTGAAACGATGAACGTGTGGATAGCCCTAATCATCCCACCATTCAGCCAGGCCGAGTGGTGCTCGCGGACTCGTTCAGATAAAAAAGCGACAAGACCAAAGGCAAAAAGAAGAGTGATGCTTTCAAATCCATTCAATGCACTTTTTGACCGCATTATCTAGGTAACTGAGTTTTCCCATTGAGTAATGCCGTAATGTTGTTTACTATTCAACTGAGCGACAACAAGAACAATCGGTGATACGCAAAGCGCCAAAAAGTGAAGCGAGTAGGCGATTAACCTGGTTTGCAATGAATCGAAAACAATCGACCGTAACTGGTTCATATTCAATGAGTGACAAAGAAAAATTGGCCATGGGAACTAGTCAGGTGAGTTAGTTCAGTGATTTTTACAAAATTCAAAGCGAGGGGGCCTCGTTTCTCGAAAAATCTCTCATTTTCAATCTGCATCTGAGAACCGGATAAAATTACGCATGTGGAATCATTTAGAAGGAAATAGATTTTTGGCTTAATTTCATCATTAGGTAACTAGTGCGATGGATTTTTACGATACGCCTGAACAAACAAACAAACAAACAAACAAACAAACTAACTAACNATATCTATATATATATATATATATATATATATATATGGATGAAACATTTTTCAGGTTCGTGCTAGGGAAAGTTTAAAAGCAATGACATGATAGCATTACTAGGATTCGAAGTTCGAGGTGGGTTTCAAGCAAAACATATTTACACATTCATCATTCAGGTCACGCGCTCTCCCCTGAAACATACAAAGTAGTCAAGGACCAAAACATTTAGGCCGCCGCTACAGCAGCTTTGAGGTTGCGGTTGAATCCGTTTATCGTGACCTAATTTCGTCATTTCGTGGCACCACGCCACAACCCTTTGAGAGAACGTTTGCCTCCTTCGAAAAGCGGCAAGTAAAACTAAATATATGATAAGAGAGAAGTGGAAAATCATCAGTATTTTATTATTTCCATTGCATTCTGGGAAGCTATTGCAAACACCAAATGAAAGAAAAATAGTTGAGTGAACAAGCTTGTCTTCTATACATAATCAATTAACTAAAGAATCAAAATTCTTATTTCCCATCAAATTGATAGTGAAATGGGTATATATTGTTGTGTCGAAGTTTCACAAACAAAAGTGATCGGGTACGAGTATTGTGGTAAAACTCAGATCGCAAGAATAACCACATTCAGCTTGTGGTACTTGGAGAAAGGGAAATAGGTGATCCAGATGAGTTTCACATATTATTAATCTTTTGTCACACAAAATGATGCTCGAATAGTGTGTGGCTCATTCCCACAGTCCACAACTCGTGCATATTGAATTTAAAATCCAAGTTGCTTCGCTAATCGAATTACCAGCTTAAATCCAATGGACACATACGAACAAACCGAACTTTCTAGTGATTGCACTACTGTTATTGTCCACCACGTC